GTATCATGTTTGTTTCGGCTCCACAGAAAATGGCACAGTGGAGTGGCATTCTATCACTATTTGTTTTACAAGTTCGACCCTACTGTGTGTTTGGTCAGACATAAGAAATACATGAAAAGGTAAATCTATCTGTTGTTACATTGAGTAAGAGGAGTGAATCTACTGTTCCTTAGCGGTCACAAATCTCATACACCTACCCTAGTGCAAGTCTGGAATTCAAAAACACAGAACAGACTATTCTTACAACATGACTCCTAAGCACAAGCCAACTGCTTCATCTTATGCTTCAACAAGGAAATGTAATCACTTCCAATGTTAGAGGGGAAACTACCTGTGGTTGAATCAATTGAAAGATGATGTTGTACAATTCCAGGGATTTTAGAGAATTTTTTACAAAATGAAGTATATATCTTCCTGCACATGGGATGTGTGCTGCTGCAATAATAAAGAAGTTTTCTCCCCAAATTCTGGCAATAGGTTAGTGGATAGACTTAGATTTCAGAGCTGTTATAAGTTTATTATCTTGAGGCTTTGTTAGTATTTTGTGAGGGAGAAGAGGGGAGGCACTGACTGCTAGCCAGGTGCCACCTTGAGATTTCTTCCAGTAGAATCACATTTAACCCTTGCAACAGCCTTCTCAAAGAAGATGATGATGATGAATCATGATCATTGTCATCACTATCAGTAATTACAAATAAAGACCTTAGGCTCAAAGTATGTTTACCCTTGAACAACATGGGTTTGAACTGCACAGGTTTACTTAATATATGGATTTTCTTCTGCCTCTGTCACTCCTGAGACAGAAGACCAACCTCTCTTCTTCCTCCTCCTCCTCCTCAGTCTACTCAATGTGTAGACAATGAGGATGAAGAACTGTATGATGATCCACTTCCACTTAATAAACAGTAAATATATTTTCTCTTCCTTATGATTTTCTTCATAACATTTTCTTTTCTCTAGCTTACTTTACTGTAGGAACACAGTATATAACACATATACAACATGTGTGTTAATCTACTGTTTATGTTATCAGTAAGGCTTCTGCTCAACAGTAGGCTATTAGTAGTTAAGTTTTGGGGGCATGATAAGTTATACGTGGATTTTCAACTCCACAGTGGGTTGGTCCCTCTAACCTCTATGTTATTCAAGGGTCAGCTGTAACTGATTTGAAGTCCTATAACTAGAAAGCTGTGGATATTTGAATCCAAAGTTTTATCTTCAGAGTCTATGCTTTGACTCTGACACCTGCTGTTGCCACAGCCCCCACAGTGTCGGTTCCAGTCGCATCCCCACTCCGTGCCGGTGACCCAGCCTCCTCCTCACCTCAAAACTTCTCTCCTCTCCCAGACTCTCCCCTCTCAATGAGCAGTCTCTAGCTACTTACACATCACTCTTCATACTCTCCTTCCCTAAAGGGCACATGGAGCTAGGATGAATAGGGATAGAAGAAATACATTGATACTGGTAAGAAACTACAGGAATTTGATTAGGTAGTTAAGAAATTTTGTCTTGACTCCATGAAGACTTTTGCTAAGATAAATGACTTGATCAAAGCTGTGTAAAGGGAACTGTGAAAGCAGGAAGGGCCATTAGGAAACTGATGGAATAGTCCTGTCATGAAGACCTGAATGAGGGCAATAGCAGCAGGAATGGAGTAAAATAGATGGCTTTGGAGTGTGTCATAAAGGAAAGTAGAGAGGAGACAAGGAAAGGCGAAAGAAGCCCTAAATGACTCCCTAGATGCCATCTCTAGTGTGTGGATTCTCATATGTCCAAAATGACATTAGGTACAAAATCATCAGAACAAATACTGGTTTTTACTGCTTCCTGGATACCAGGCACTGTACTGAGCACTCAGCATGCACTATCTCTTTGAATCCTTACAACATGTGTTTTCTCTGTATTATAGATAAAGAAAATGAGATGCAGAAAGTTTTGTCACTTGGCCAAAGAATGATCTAAACCCCATTCTATCTGATTCTGGGACCCAGACTCGACATTTCTCAGGGTGCAGATTGAGTTCCTCTCATGCAATATGAACAGACCCTTTTTTCCTTTCTTTTTTTTTTTTTTTAAGACAAAGTCTTGCTCTGTCGCCCCAGGCTGGAGTGCAATGGCACCATCTTGGCTCACTGCAACTTCCGCCTCCGTGGTTCAAGCAACTCCCCTGCCTCAGCCTCTCAAGTAGCTGGGATTTCAGATGCACACTACCACGCCTGGCTAATTTTTTTGTACTTTTAGTAGAGATGGGGTTTCACCATGTTGGCCAGACTGGTCTCAAACTCCTGACCTAGGCAATATGCCCAGCTAGGCCTCTCAAAGTGCTGGGATTACAGGCATGAGCCACCGCACCCGGCCCAGACTTCTTCTTAAATATTTATGTAAACATTTTAGTGAGTACTAAAACAAAATTAGCACATCATATTCATGATTTTATGTTGCACTATCATTCATAATGAGGCAAAGTAAAAACAAAATAACTAGTTGAGAGTTTATTTGAAGAAAAATTTTAAGGATGCAATTCTGTAGATCTACATTGTTCAATATGGTAGCCACTGGCCACCTGTGGCTATTTAAATTGAAATAAATCAAAATCAAATTAAGCATTCATTTCCTCAGCACCGGTAGGCACATTTCAAGTGCTCAATAGCCACAGAGGGCCAGTGGCTACCATATTGAACAGTGCAAATACAGAACATTGGTGTCAATATGTAATTTTTTTTTTTTTGATGGTGCTGGGTGAGAGCTGTTTTACACTGGATCGGTGTTTTTTTATTTAGCATTTACTCCAGCTCTAAATTACCTCTCTTTAGAACTTGATCTGGCTCTGGATAAGTCTGTGTGCACCTGCATTGTCCCATATAGTAGCCCACGATTTACCAGTGTCTGTTGAATCCTGGAAATACAGCCAGTCTGAATTGAAATGTACTGTAAGTGTAAAATACACATTGGATTTCAAAGCTTTTGTGTGAATAAAGAATGTAAAAATATAGCATTAATAATTTTTCTAATTATATGTTGAAATATTTCAGATATATGGAGTTAGGTAAACTGTATTATTGAAATTACTTTCATGTGTTCTTTTTCACCTTATTTAATGTTGCCACAAGACCATCTTAAATTACATACATGGGTTGCGATATATTTTCACTGGTCAGTGCTGTTCTAGACCTCTTTGCCCTGCTGTGTGACTCTAGAACTCTCTTCCTTTCCCTATCTCTTTCTGTATATCTGCACTGCCCAGTATAGTAGACATAAGCCACCTGTAGATATTTCCATTTAAATTAATTAAAATGAAACAAAATTTAAAATTCAGTTCCTCTGTCTCGTTAGCCACATTTCAGATGCTCAGTGGCCACATGTGGTTAGTGGCCACCAAACTGTGGAGAATAGAGGTAGAACACTTCCATTGTTGTGGAAAGTTCTGTTGGACAGCTCTCACATAGATGGTACACAGCTATGGCAAGAGACCCAGAGGTGGATCATGAATGCCTAAAGCTTGGAGAATGTTTCCAGATTGCCAGACCCCATGGCACATCCTTCTTCCATCTCCTAGATGCCTATCTCTCCCTATCTTAGTTAGACTTATTCACGCACACCTTATATTTTCTTCTCCCCTCCTTCAAGGGCTGTGGCCTGCTTATTTAAACCTGAATATACCTCCTTCCTGTATGAACACAGTGTCTAACATGGTGCATTGTACAGTATAGGTACTCATTAAATATTTCTTAACCAGTTGGAGTGGCAATTCCTAGCAAGTGACTGGAAATATGTGACTAAAGGTAGAGGGAGATCTATATGGCTGGTAGCAGTGGGACAGGGGCCAGGGGTGGGCAGTGGCGGCGATGAATCTAGGATCCCAAGGAAGAGACGGAGAGAGCAGAGAGACAGCAAAGAGGAAATCAGAGAGACAGTAACCCAAAATCTTATACACATCACCAAAATCCTTCTGCCCATCCCACAAGCTCCTCGCAGGCAGTGACAAGAGTTACTGCAGAAAAATTCACAGGGTTAGGCAACAGCTATATAAAAAGTGTGAAAGAAATCTAAAATATTATTACACGATAAATAAACATACCAGACCCATAAATCAGAAGTTGAAATGGCATGAAAATTAAGGGGCTGGTGAGGAGAAAAAATGAAAAATGCTCTGTCCCTGGGCCAGCTGGTGTGAGTTACATTTTATGAGCAGCATGTGAATTCCAGTGGCCTTGCTGGATTAGCAGCAGAATCGCACATTAGTTTTAAAGCTCCCTCTCGAATAGGAACATCATAACGTCTTTTAATTGGGCCTGATAAAAACGTAGCATTACTTGTAGGTTCCTGAGAGAAGTGAGTTGTGAAATTGGGTTTTCATTAAACCTAATGATGGAAAATTAAGTATAGTGCGTCTGGTGAAATGGAGTGTGATAAAAGACATCACTTCTGCATTATCAGAGGTTAATAAGGGAATAGGTGAGGTAAGATACTTTGGAAAGGGGAGTCCAACCCGTTGGATTAATAAACCTTGAAAATCCCTTGGTTCTGAGTCTTCATAGCATCGTCAGCACTGGCATTGACATTATTGCAAATGTTACAGCAATGCAAGTTGTTAAATTTCAATGCATTTATTTTCCATTCCAGTGTTGGTTTTGCTGACACCAAGTTTACAGTCTGTCTAGCAATGTGTTTAGGGAAAATATCCATATTGACAGCTATTTGGTTGGTTTTGGAAACATTTGACGTTTCTCACACACATAAAAAGCCAAGTTCCCATTCCTAGGAAGCCTGTCTTTCCCAGGCAGCTGGTCTCCCATGCAGCCCATGCCCCAAGTTCCTCTGGGAGACTATGGGTCTCCGAAGACATCTGTCCCCATCGCACATGGTGGGAAATACAGGCCTCCTAGCATTGACTCAGCTCATCCTTTCCTAGAAATTGTGGTGTATGGCATGACTCCAAGCTTTAGGTATTCACAATCCATACCTCTGTGGCTCTTGCTGTAGCTTTGTACCATCTCTAGATGAATCAAACACAAGTGCTCCCTTCCTCTCCATTTCCAATCACACCATCACAGGAGTGATATTCGCTGGAAGGATGCCTTTGATGACAGCTATTCATGACAGCTGGGACACCTACAAGAAACAGTGTGAGTCTTTAAAGAAGGAGATTCCTCCTAAAACCTTTCAACAGGTTCACACTAGCTTCAAGGGTCTTACACATTCACAGTCTTTCTGGATCTGCCTTGCATCGTCTCTTACAGTGTTGCCCCCCTGACATTTCTACCCACAGCTTTTACTCCTAATCAACCTCCTTGCTTTTAACTAAATGTGCCTTCATCTCTCAGGCTCTGTCCTTTTTCTTCAGTTGGTTCTTCTTGCCTATTTCCTTGCTAAACTGTCAAGCCTTGAGGGTGGAATCAGTATTTCTGTCTGCATTGCCACTGCCTACCATAGTCCTTGGCACAGAGTGGGTTCTCAGTAAGTCGAACTCATGAACCCAAGGGGGTGATGGAGAAAGGAAACAGCCCCCATGTTTGCCAAGTGGTGCATTTAAGCAATGCCAGTGAACACATACTAGCTATTACCTAAAATCGTGGGAGAAAAAGTAAGCAGTATTTCTCTTCTGTGCAGTCAGGAAGGTTTTGCTAACAACTTGCCTGGGCCCTTCTTTCTTGTGCATATATCTAAATCTTAGAAATCTTTCTGTAGGCAATCCAGGGGTTATTTGGCTGGTCCCCAAAGGACAGCCTCTGCTTTGGGGATGTTTACATACTACCCTGAATCAGGAAGTTTTGGAGACTACACTCTACCTACGATGACCCCACCTGCTAATTAGATATGACCCAATCAGTGTCCCAAGCTCAGACCAGTCAGATTAGTAGCCTCTCCTCTCTTGGAGGAGCCAGTAGGTGGGGGCAGGCAGAAGGCTGCAAAGTGAAAAATTTATCCCCTACTCCAACCACAGGTATAATTGAAAGCATTAGGGTGACCAACCATTCCCATGTGCCCGTGACTGAGAGGTTTCCCAACAGCTGAACTTTCAAAGCTAAAACTGGAAAATTGTCAGTCAAACTGGGACAAGTTGGTCACCTAGAAAGCAGGAAGGCCAGGTGTTCCCTTCCGTTATCTTTCCTTGCCAGGAACAGGCTTGCTGATGTTGCTGCAGAAAAGTAGAGTGTGCATTCACACACGGAATCCATGTCTGATGGATTATTCCAACATGACAGGCAAACAAGCTGAAGGGAACGTGGATTTTGAAAAGACAAGTTGCAGAAAATCAGGAATATATGCTAAGCCTCCCAGGGAATGAGTATGGCATAGGCCAAGTGAGTATCTGCATAGGTGTTTCACAGGGTCTGAAAACATCTGGGGGAGACACATCAACTGCTGCAGCTGACAGTTCTCATCTCTTGCATGCCACAAACAAGATGGTCCGGGGCATAGACTGTTCATTCATGTCTTTGGAAGGAGGTTGGGAAGACCAAGCCTAGATGATTCTGGGAAAGGTAAACTGGCCCTGAAAGACCAAGAATGTATGCCTGGCAGGAAGGTGGTAAGCAAGACATTGGTTTTAGTGGTCCAAGGGGAACAGAAGAATTCCAACCCAGTATGAGCAAGCATCAGCTTTCAGGGTGGCCAAACTGACAGAAGGCAGTTAAAGCAACTCATTGGATGAAAAGGTTTTTATCAAGAGAGAATATAGATCTTACATCAGGCAGAGATTTTATGAAGGCGATGAGGCACGGGATCCAGGCCTGGAGAAAGTAGCTAGCAGCACTGAAGGAAGAGGTCCAGGCTTCCCTACCTGCAAGGTGGGTTCAATGATGCCACTGGATTAATAGTATTAAGTGATGGGGAAACTATACAATAGCAAGAAGGTGGTCACTGGGGCAGAGCTCATAACTATAGAGAGCAGCTGGGGGGATCAGGGTCCCTGCTAGCTGCTGGCAGTCCAATACTGGCTGCAATTCCTCCCAGGGTAAAACTCAAAGGAAAAAAAATTAGTAGATAAGCCAGATCACAGGGATGCAGGCTTATATGTGACTCCAATCTTCGAGCACCTGAGGCTCTCCTCCCCTGCAGCCAGGCATCAGGCACTATTTCCAGCCTCTCTGCTTCCTAAACAGGAGGGGGGCTCCCAATAAATAGCCTTCCTGCTTCTCAGTGGTTCTGCCCCACCAAGTCTAAAGGAAGGACTGAGACAGACTGGAATGACAACCAAGCTGGAACTTTGTCAGTATGTGCCCTTGAAATGTATTGTGTTTGTTGGTTTGTTTGTGGGTTTGATACTTAGATCTACCAACACAGCCAGGCCAGGGAAGGAGTGTATCTCCGGTCTTTCTGCAGTTTCCTGATCAGTTGAGTCCCAAGTTGGTTCCCTCTGCCCTCCTCAGGCCACGCTGGGGGAGACAGGGAGGACAAAGGGCAACGCTTCTATAGGTGATGATCTGTTCTGCCTCCTTCTTTTCGAAGCAGATGGCAGCCGTGGGGAGCTTTCCCAGCCCACTCTCACGATCCAGACTCATCCCTACCGCACCTGTGACCCTGTGGAAATGAGTTACCCCCGGGACCAGTTCCAGCCTGCCATCCGGGTGGCTGACTTGCTGCAGCACATCACGCAGATGAAGAGAGGCCAGGGCTACGGGTTCAAGGAGGAATACGAGGTAAGAGACCAGCCTGTGGGGAAACTTTCTGATTGTTTCAGAGGCTTATTTGGGCACTAAAGCCTTGCTACAAAAAGCATGGCTCCCTGGCCAGCAGCATCAGTATCACCTGGGATCGTGTGGGAAATGCAACATCTCAGGCCACATCCCGCCCTGCTGAATCAGAACCTGCATTTTAACCAGAAACTAGGTGATTTGTATACACATTAAATTTGAGAAGCGCCATGCTAAATAATTCTAAGACTTCACTCCTGTTTCTCTCCCCTTCCCCTTTCATTATCTCCAAAGTTTCTACACCTTGGAGTCTCACCTCCATTCAATATGCCAGAATGGCTCCAGCTCCCATCCCACATGCTGTAGAAAAGCCAGCACATCTCCCCTGCCAATGATTTCCAGCATGCCTGCTTGCTCTTGGTCACCTCTTGTCTCATACTCAAGCTTCTGTAGTATTCTGGTCCTCGCTCCCACCCCACAAAGGCAATGCTTCATCTCCAGTGACCACAGTTCCCTCTTTCTGCACCTTCTCTTCACCCTGCATGGGCATCCCTTTCCCACCTCCCCAAAGCATCTCTAACACAAAGGATTTGCAGGTGGTGGTTGTTACCAAGGTTTGGGAAATAATAGAGAAGGACTGCAGCAAACGACAGGCAGCACCTCAATACAACGCTGTTCTTCTTATAAGTTCCTTAACCATCTACATTGCTGGTAAGGCCTTCTAAGGTTCTGGTCTCCCAACAGGTCTCTATCTAATTTCTCCTCAAAGTCGTCTTTAGTGTCCTCAAAACTTCCTCCACCCCCACCCCTCAGCATCCAGACAAAGGGCCCCACATTCCTCTTTTATTTTGCAGAACAATTTAGCTTTCTCTATCTCACTCTTTTTGTTTCAAATTCTGCCCATTAGGCCTCACCTTTTACAAACAAAAAGCAAAATAAAAGGAAAATGCATTAAGACGTTTTTTCTGAACCAAAGAGCAGCTGACTCTCCAAGAATAATTCTGCAACTCTCCTAGTTGCAGGTAGACTCAAGCTGCAGTCAGCTTTGAAAACAATTTCTTTCTTCACTTTTCCTTTCCTCTCTCTCCCTTCCCTCCTTCCTTCCTAAAATATCTTTTGAGTATCTTCTGTGTACCATGCTCTGAGTTATATGTATTTGTGTGGGTTTTTTTTGTTGTTGTTTGTTCTTTTTTTTCTCTTCACATGCAGTGTGTGCCCCAGATATGCTTGATTCAGTTTTGCTGTGTGCAGTAGAAAACTCATTGGCTCAGACTCCACACATTTGGAATTCTTGATATTGCAGACTAAGTTTATCCCTCAGACTATATTCTGAGAAAGAGCTTACAAAGCAATATTTCTGAAGTCGTATGAGGTCATGAAATTGTGCTAAACTAGGGGTCCAGACAGCTGGATTCCAATGTAGTAAGCTGTTAGATTTTAGAATTTTGCTATCTGAGTTTTAAAATTCTTTATTAGTTGAATGAAGAATTTGGATAAGGTGATCTCTCAGGATCTATCTGGTCCTAAAACTTTATGAGCGTGTAAAACATGGTGACAAGGGGCATGTTTGACATATCTATGAGAACAAAAACGTTTTTGTCAATGGATGTGAGTAATTACCAGCTTCGGAAAGCTAGCACTTAATTTCAAAAACAGTCTAAGTAAAATAGCATTTTTCATATTCTCATCTACAAATCTTGAAAGGATATTCAAATTAGAGTTGAAGAAGATGATCTCATTACTACCCATCCCTGGATCTCATTTGCTAGGGGATTGAATGGTCCCAGTCTCGGGGGCATAGGGTGCATGTGAGCGTGCTTTATGTGTGTGTATACAGACCTGTTTGTTGAGCAAATGTCAGGAAGGTTATGTTGTTTGAAATGGTATATTCAACATTAGTCATAACAATTTGATTAAAAGTTTCGAATATCATTAAGGGAGATATGTGGCTTACCAAAAAAAAAAAAAAAAAAAAAAGGGACAAGCAGCCAAATGCTGAGAAACACATATGTAAGAACTTGCAATCTGAAATTTGAAGACAGAATTACAAGTGTATTTGACACTTTCATGCATTTCCTTCTAAATTAACATTTCTTTTAAAGCATTCATCCCTGTGTGATGAGTTGCTTTTCAAAACTTTTTCTTTGTACCCTTTTGCATTTTCCAAACTTTCTAGCATGGAAATGAAGAGCTTTTATAAGAAAACAAACAATACATGTCATTTCATCATTTGAACCTCAACCAGAAATCTAACTAGGCTAGCCTTGGCCTCAATTAGTTCAAATTATATTAATCAGCAAGCTGTAACGCTTAGCTTCTAGTTAACATTATTTTCTGATTAACTGAGGGTTAATTGGAAAATATTGCCTGATAAAAGTCATTTCACAATGTGCTAGCCCACAATGTCCAGCCCAGAATACAGCTGGATATTGCTTTGATCATCAAGGCTCCTCTGATATCTCGAATCTTCATCCTGAGCATAAGAGTCACAGATCTGCTAGGAGAATCCTATTGCAGATATAAGACTCCTGAGCCTCCAATCCTACTCTCATATGAGTCTGCTATGTGCTGTTTGTTGTCTGTCACTTCTCTGTCCTCAGTTTTTTCATACAAACGAGTGGGTTTGACAAGTTGACATCTAAGGGACATCTCAGCCATAGCAAGCTGCGTCAGAAGACAAAATTCAATTCAGTTGAACAATCACTTAAAATTTGTTCAGTAAATATTTACTATTTATTATTGCCAAGGACGATTCTAGGTATTTGGGATACAACAGTGAATGAAACAAAGATTCTTGCCCTCCTGAAGCTTGTATTCTAGCAAGGGAAGTAGGAAATAAACATAAGCTTAAAAAATAAGCAAATTTTATAATGTAGTGTGTTAGACAGTGAAAAATACTGTGTGCTATGTTACAAACCATTCCAAATTTTAGCAACATAACCAGTTTCTTGCATTCATTGATTCTGTGGAATCTGTGCAGGGTACAACAGGGATAACCTGTTTCTTCCACACAGTATCCAGAGCCTGGGCTAGGAAGTCTCCAAGGCTGGGGGCTGGAATCATCTGAACATGTCTTCACTCACATGACTAGTGACTGATGCAGGCTTTCAGCTGGGATTGTCCACTGGAAGACCTACACATGGCCTCTTCAGTGACCTGGGCTTCTTCACAGCGTGGTAGCCTTGAGATAGCTGGACGATTTCCATGGTGGCTTAGAGCTCCATAGGTGAGCTCCCCAGATAAAAGGTGAAAAGTGCATCACCTTTGTGACCCAAACTTGGGTATCACACTGCATTATTCCTACCATGTACTATTGGTTGTAAGCAGGTAAAAACTCCCCTACTTTCTAGGAGAGGGGAATTTGACTCTATCCCTTGATGAGGGAGGAGGAGGGGCAGTTGCCAGATTCTAGAGGAGCATGCAGAGCAAGAAATATTGTGGGGGGAAAATAAAAGCCCAGGCGCAGTGGTTCATGCCTGTAATCCCAGCACTTTGGGAGGCTGAGGTGGGTGGATTGTCTGAGGTCAGGAGTTCAAGACCAGCCTGGCCAACATGGTGAAACCCTTTCTCTACTACAAATACAAAAATTAGCCCGGCGTGATGGTGGGTGCCTGTAACCCTAAGTACTCTGGAGGCTGAGGCAGGAGAATCACTTGAACCCAGGAAGCAGAGGTTGCAGTGAGCTGAGATCATGCCACTATACTCCAACCTCAGGGCAGAGTGAGACTCCATCTCCAAAGAAAAAGAGAAAGAAAATCTTTGGATAATAATACAGTCTGCCACAAGTACCATGGAAAAAGAAAGAACAGAGCAAGGAAGGGAGATTTGTTCCAGGGACATGAAGTAAAGGAGGTTCCAATAGTAAACAGGATAAAAGGGTAGTCCTTAATTAGAAGATGAAACTTGAATAAAGACATGGTGGAAGATATCTGGAGGAAGAGCGTTCCAGATCCAGAGAGTAATATACCTGGCACGTACAAGCAGTTGCAAAGAGGCCAGGATAACAGAGGCAGAGTGAGCAAGGGATAAAAGTAATAGGAGATTTGACTGGAGAAATAAAGAGGGACCTGACCATGCTATGCATTACAACCCGTTATAAGGACTTCGACTTTTACTCTGACTAAAATGGAAAGCCACTACAGAGCTTTAAGAAGACAAGTGCTAATGATCTGTCTTTACTTCATTCTAGCTACTGTGTTGAGAATGGAACTTAGGAAGGCAAGGGTGAAAGCAAGGAGACCAATTAAGAGGACATTGCAGTAACTCAGGTGAGAGACAACAATGACTCAGGGCATGGCAGAGAAGGTGGTGAGACGTGGATGGATTCTGAATATATTTAAAAGATGGAGCCAACAGCATTTCCTAACACATGGTATATGTTACAAAAGGAATTAAGGGTAACTCCAAGGCTGCTGTTTGTGCCACTGATAGGACGGAGCTGCCTCTAATGGAAGTGGGGACGCTCAAGTAAAGCAGAGCTGGAACAATCAGTAGTTTCATGTTAAATTGAGTTTGCAATGTCCATTAGACATATTAGTGTCTCCATGTAGCAAGGAGGTAGTTGGATCTATGAAGCTGAAATTTGGTAAAGAAGCCTGGGCTGGAGAGAAACCTTTGGGAGTTATTGGCCTACAGATGATTAAAGCCACACTGGGTGAAGTCATCAAGCAAGTGAGTATAGACAAAGACAACGACCTAGGACCAGGCCTTTCAGAATTTCAACTTTAAGATATGGGAGCATTTTCCATGGGACAGATACTGTACTAGGCTCTGGGAACTGAAATAGAGCCCTTGCCTTCTAGGGAACGCAGAGCCTATTCTTAGAGACCAAAAAAAATGCCACCATAGAGGTATATCCAGAGCTATGAGAATCCTTGGGGGTGGGATGCATTAACCCAGCCTAAAGGTGAACAGCCAGTGGCTTTCTGGAAGACATAAAGCCCAAAGCTTGAGAAGTAGGAAGAACCAAATTAAAGAAGGGAAGGGTGTTCCAGGCACAGCGGTTA